AAAATTTTCAATAATATTAGGATGATCATTTTTTTTGTTACAATTTGTTTATTACCTTAATCACTCACATTTGATAGTAATGTAATATTGACACATGATATATAGTAGGAAAATATAATTATCATAAGGGCAAATTACATATACACCCCTCCAGGTTTGACAAAATTACAGATACCCCCCTGAGGTTTGAGAAATTACGAATTCCCCCATGAATGCTATATTTGCATAAGAAATTAGGGGGTAATTTGTTATGAAATATAAACCTCAGGGGGTAAATTGTTATGAAAATACAAACCTCAGGGGGTGGGATATAATTTCCGAAACCTCAGGGGGGTATCTGTAATTTAACCAAACCTGGAGGGGTGTATATGTAATTTGCCCTTATCATAACATAATTATAAATGTTTATGGGAATATTATATGAGTCATTAAATTTTGAAATGCAACTCCATTATATTGTGAAATTTACAATTTTTTTGAGAGTGAAATTGAATTTGAGGGGGCCATTATTTATTTATTTATTTTGAATAGAATACAGGTAAACTTGGCAATTTTGAGAAAGTTGAAGGGGCATGACATACTAAAACATATAGGAAAAATATGAAAAAGGAAATGAAAAAACAAAGTATCAAGCTAGAATAAAGTTAAAAAAAAATATATTAATAATTATCAGAGAAAGGAAGTAAGAAAGGAATCTGATCTTGATCCGTTGTACCCATTGAATTAATACTGATTTAAGAGAAAGAGCCCTCGTAAATATCCCCAGTGGGGGTCGCACCCCTAGTGAGGTGGCGCGCCCCCGCTGGTTGACAACCAAAAATAATAATAATAATAATAATTTTTTTCGTCCAATCACGAGCCTTCACCTCACTAGAAGCCGACCCCAGTGGGGGTATAAAGTATTTTTCTTAAGAGAAAATGCAAGGACATGCAAAATGGACACCACTGAAAATGACCATCAACTAAAGGCTAAATTCATTTAAAGACCTTTCCAAACAAAAAAAAAAAAAGGAAAAAAAAAAGGGTCATTTAACAGATTTAGGTCTGTTTCGCAATTTATTATTTTAATTTATAAGTTCAAAAATTAATAAAAAAAATTATAAAGTCAAAAAATTATATCAAAAACTCAAATTTTTTATTTTTTTTTATTTTTTACATATTTTTTCGTAAAAAATTAAATAGTCATTTTAAAGCTTCGTTTGACATTTGATTTTTGGTTAAAAAAAGCACAAAAAGACCTCCGTTTGGGAAGTGGGTTGACTTTTTGGCTTTTTGACTTTTTTGACTATATGAGCCTGGGCTCAAAAGCTTAATTTGGGAAGGGTTTTTGACTTTTTGGCTTTTTTGATTTTTTTGTGAGAGAAGAGTGTAATGATTATGTGGTTGGATGAAATGTTTTGTCTGTTGTGGCTCATGAGCCTATTCTGTCTTTTATGGCTCATTGAACCAAAAAAGCCCAATAAGCCCTTGCCAAACCAACCCAAAATTGGCTACATAAGCTAATAAAACAAAATATCGCATTCAAATCATAATTATTACACTTTTTCTCTCACAAAAATAAAAAAAATCAAACCAAATGAATCTAAAAAAGTCCCAACACAAAAAACTAACTAAAAAAACCAATTCCAAACGAAGCCTAAGGGGTCGTTTGACAATGATTTTTTTAGTTGGTTTTTTAGCTTTTTTGACTTTTTTACCCTGAGAATTTTTTGTTTGTTTGATTTTCTTACTTGATTTTTTCAACTTTTTGATTTTTTTGACTTTTTTTTTTTGGGTCATTCTGTGATTTTTAGCCCAAGAAGAAAACCAAACCATGACTAAACATACTAAATTTTTTATCTCATATTTTAACTAAAAAATTTAAAAAATATTAAAATAACATATTTCCAAACAAAGTTAGTAAACATTTAATGCAAATGTAACTTGTTCTACCCAAATCAAGTTATGAAGAAAAAAATGACTAGTAAAATGAAATTTTAATTAAAATTGACTGACATGTGAATTTTAGTTGTTTTTTTTTTATGATTTTTGTTTTTAGTTTTGAATTACTCTTCCTTTCGTTTATGATTAATAAGGCTAACAAAAATTAAAAAATGAGGGGGATTGAATTCAAATAAGATTTTAGTAAAAGCATGATGTTATAATTTGACTTAAAAATAAGGAGTGGACTATTATAATTAAAAAATAAAGTAACTAAAATAAAATTTTAATTAAAGTATAAAGGTGTTAAAGTGTAATTAAAACTAAATTTGTCATGATTCATAAGTTCTTTAATCATATCTTAACTTATATTTAGTAGTGATATTTTTAATTATGACTTAAAAAGTATAAAATTATACTATTTTATTTATTTTTTGAGTTATAAGGTACCGATGTCTTCCATATTGTTTCCCTAAGTTATTATATTTTCTCCTTATCTCTTTATAGAAAGTCACTAAGGCCAAGTTTGGGGACTTTAAAAAAAATCAAAAAGCCAAAAAGTTACTCAAAAAGTTAAAAAGTTAATACTATTCACCAAAAGTCAACAATTACGGCTGCACAACTCCCAATTCAAATTTTTCTCTACAAATCAAATTTTTATAATTTTTTATTACACATTTTTCAATAAAAAGTCAAAAAGTTAACCCAAACATCCATATTTTCAACCTCATTTTTTTAGTCCAAAAAGACAAAAAGTACACTTATTTAGTCTTCCCAAACTTGACCTAAGATTGTGACATTTCTAAGTCTTTTGTCAAGGTGAAATTGAGAATTTTCACATATTCAAACAATTAAGAAACTTCATATTTTCAATATATTTGCATCTCTTTTATTGTAAGTTTTGTTAGTAAATCAATACTTGTACAGATTCTCAAAGTTCGAGAAAATTCTCAGTTTCTGATTGAGAAAGTTATTAATTGTATTCAAATTCAAATTGAAATTGAGATCCTCCTATAGTCAACCAACCCATAAATTGCTATTTACATCATCTACCAAATCATTTATTGTGAAATTTCTCAGTTTAAGAAACAATTTGAAAGAGCATATTATTTTATTAATGTGAGATTAGTATTTTATTTAGTCTAAAACAGTTGAAACAGTGTTTGCCAAAAACACTTTCACAAAAACCTGTTTAGCAAACACACTTTTATGTTGTTTGAATTAAGTTTAAATAGGCATTTTTATACCTTAAAAAGCCACATTTTTTTTCTTTCTTTTTTTATTTTTTATTTTTCATGAATTTTTAAAAAAAATTATGTCAAAAAACTTTACTTTTTCATTTGTCTTGTGTAGAAAAATTTAAAAAGTTTTTTTTTTTTTTAAAAAAAAAAATTCTAAAAAAAAGTTCAAAAGCAAAAAAAAAACCGACTATTTTTTTTATTTATTTATTTTTGTCTTTTCTAGACTTTTTTTGAAATTTTTTTAATTTCCGGTTTGTCACGTTATCTACAAGTCTAAAATTTTTCTAAAAAAACAAGCACTAAATAGGTAAACTCCAAACATCTTACATAGATGGGGCCAGTGCACACATCATCTAAGGGAACTTTTAAGACCAAATAGTATTATTAGCCTCCGTTTTGGAAGTAGGTTAGCTTTTTAACTTTTTAACTATTTTAGTTATTTTATTTTGGGTTAAAAAACTTAGTTTGGAAAGGGTTTTTTTGACTTTTTAGCTTTTTTATTTTTTTTTATGGCTCAAAAGCTTAGTTTGGGAAGGGTTTTTGACTTTTTGGCTTTTTTGATTTTTTTGTGAGAGAAGAGTGTAATGATTATGTGGTTGGATGAGATGTTTTGTCTGTTGTGGCTCATGAGCATATTCTGTCTTTTATGGCTCATTGAGCCAAAAAAGCCCAATAAGCCCTTGCCAAACCAACCCAAAATTGGCTACATAAGCTAATAAAACAAAATATCGCATTCAAATCATAATTATTACACTTTTTCTCTCACAAAAGTAAAAAAAATCAAACCAAATGAATCTAAAAAAGTCCCAACACAAAAAACTAACTAAAAAAACCAATGTCAAACGAAGCCTAAGGGGTTGTTTGACAATGATTTTTTTAGTTGGTTTTTTAGCTTTTTTGACTTTTTTACCCTGAGAATTTTTTGTTTGTTTGATTTTCTTACTTGATTTTTTCAACTTTTTGATTTTTTTGACTTTTTTTTTTGGTCATTCTGTGATTTTTAGCCCAAGAAGAAAACCAAACCATGACTAAACATACTAAATTTTTTATCTCATATTTTAACTAAAAAATTAAAAAAATATTAAAATAACATATTCCCAAACAAAGTTAGTAAACATTTAATGCAAATGTAGCTTGTTCTACCCAAATCAAGTTATGAAGAAAAAAATGACTAGTAAAATGAAATTTTAATTAAAATTGACTGACATGTGAATTTTAGTTGTTTTTTTTTATGATTTTTGTTTTTAGTTTTGAATTACTCTTCCTTTCGTTTATGATTAATAAGGCTAACAAAAATTAAAAAATGAGGGGATTGAAGTATTATTTTGGTGAAAATATAGTGATTCAAAAAAGATTTTAGTAAAAGTATGAAGTTACAATTTGACTTAAAAATAAGGAGTTGACTATTACAATTAAAAAATAAAGCAACTAAAATAAAATTTTAATTAAAGTATAAAGGTGTTAAAGTGTAATTAAAACTAAATTTGTCATAATTCATAAGTTCTTTAATTATGTCGTAACTTATATTTAGTTATGATATTTTTTAATTATGACTTAAAAAGTATAAAATTATACTGTTTATTTATTTATAGTTATGAGGTACCTCTGTCTTGCATGTTGTTTCCCTAAGTCATTGTATTTTCTACTTATCTCTTTTATAGAAAGTCACTAAATAAACAAATATCAAAGGACCATAATGGGCCTTGAATTGATTTCTTAGGCTGATAGAGAATATTTTTACAAAACTCGTGATTATTTGATCCATACACAAAGCAACAGATGCATTGTTTGGTTTGGTTGAGAACGATGCTATAACTGAGCTTACTGAGCTGAGCTAAATGCTTACTTGAGGTGAATGATCAAAGGCTTCCTATCAGTGGAGATGCTCTACAGATGTTTGACGAAATGCCCAAATGAAACAACCCAAAAGTTGTTATTAGAACAACCCATTGAGCAACTCAATTCATGTATATCTGGTATTCCTCTATTCTGTTCACTCCTAATGATTATCATGAATATACCATTTTTATTGGATTCTCAGTTTTGGGTTTTCACCCTTCAATTGGTGCATCTCATTGTGGGCGAAAAAGTTTTGGTTTGTGTGATCTCAATTTAGTTTCAAAAGTGAATTTTATGATTTGGGTGTTCACATACGAATGGCCAACCGGTTTGAAAAGTACTGAATTGTTACAACTGTAATAGAGCTATTGGTTAAATGATCTATTTAACTACTTAGTAGACAAAAGAAAAGAAAACAAAATTTGTAATCTAACAAAACAACCTTTCCAAATCCGTATAGTTGTAAAATTCCAAAATTTCTACCCTCTCTTGTTGTCCCATTGACAATCAAAAGGATATTGTTAATACTCTAAAAGTATTAGCTAAATTATTTGTTCTATTTTATGTTTCTGATGATTTCATAAGAGCAGCATTTGCTTCTTTTGTGTGTCTGTATGTGTTTGTGTGCGTGTTGGTGGTGTTGTGCCCAGGGGCAGAAATGCACACCATCAATCTCACACAATGGAGACACACAAGATTTACGTGATTTGACAATGCACCTACGTCCACGGAGCCGCAAGATTTCACCATATTTCGAGAGATTACAAAACAATACAAACAATGAAGAGATTGTGATCTAGAGGAGGAGGAGGCAACACTCTCTCTCAACTCAACTCTCAGCCTCACATCTCTCGCTCTCTCAACATCTTTGCTTTCTCTTCTTGCTCTTCTCTCTTTTCTGCATTCTGATGCTCTCCATTTATACACAAATGGTAGAGCCAACCCAGCAACAAGCCAGCAACAGAATTGATGGCAACCACTCTACGCAACCACCCTACAACAGGATAGCTCGGCTGAATCTTCAGCCCAAATCTGCAGCTCACTTCTTTTTCTTCACTTGGCAGCCATTTTTGACTTCTATGGAGAATACTGAGCCAACAATCAACAGGTGGTGGGGAGGGCGTGTTAGGACTTAGTAACACCTAACCAAGATGGGTGAAACACGAAACACAAAGGAATAAACACAGGAAAGATAAATCACACGCACACAAAGAACACATGATTTATGTCTTTCATTCCAAGCTAGGGCTACGGTTTTCATTATGATCAGAAAAGTTATAAGAGCATATAGAGATAGCTACCTCTCCTCAGCTATAAATACTTAGAAAATTAGGGCAACAGGTCACACGTGTGAATATACCAGAAATACCTTTATTCCCAAATCCGCGGTCAAGTGGTTATTGACTAGTACTTTTTCAGAATCCAATTGACCTCAACAGGTGGTGCTTAACAGTTTCAGAAGTTTTTCCGATCTTTATCAGTCATCTATTATCCATTTGATTAACATGAATTGAGAAATAGCATTAATGCTGAAAAGCTCACCTCTGTTCTGAGGACTACTGAAGTTGACCTCCTTAAACCTACATATCCATTCTATTGTTAGAATTGGCCCAATGCATTTATATCAATAGCAATGTAGTTCTTATACATGTTAATGAGCAGAATATCTCACCTTTGTTTAGCGAAGTGTTTCAAATACTCGACTATGTTCTGTTACTAATACATGATTGATTGTGGATATGTGCTGTACCTTTGCTTGAACCTCACTTGTATCACTTTCCAACCATTGTAGAAGTTCTTCCGGCATTTCCTCCAAGTGTAACTTTCGGAGGCTTCTAAGATGTTCAATGCCTTGTGGCAAAGACTTCAATTCCCAACAACGAATTAAACCCATCTCCTTGATGCTTGGCAATGCACCATCCTCTATTCTCACGCTATCTAAGCGCACTAGCTCTTCTAAATTCAGCTTGTTCAGTTTAGGAAACCATCCTGCTCTGAAGTATAGAAAACTCCCTCCATATGCTTTCTTGAGTTCAAGAAACACAAGAGTTGATAGTGTATGGAGACAAGAGATTACATCTTGTTCTAGCCGAGATGAATCCAAGCACAAATGAGTTAGGTTTGCTAGAGATCCAATCCAATGGGGTAAGTTTTTCAACTGCCCAACCAATGTCAGTTTCTGAAGAAAAAATGGGGGTAGACTTAAGGCTTCCAATTTGAGTTCTTCCTCAGCACTGGCCTTCACACCTAAACAACGGAGACTTGTCAACTTTTGAATGGAAGAGCAAAGCTTTGGCCCATGAACTCCTCGCAACTCTGTAATATCCAACCTCTTCAGCTCTAACAAATTCCCAACTTGTGTGATTAACTCTTCCTCTGCTTCAATACACGATAGAGTTTGTAAACTTCGTGCATTCCAAATTCCTGCAGGAGCTTTCATGCCATGAGGAAAGTTGGAATTTTCAGAATTTTGATCAGTTTTGTGGCCCAAAAAAAGGTGTCGTAGTTTTAGTAGCTTTGATATTCTGCTTGGTAGCCTCGTCACATTGGTATTCCTTACATCCAGTGTTTGTAGGTTATGTAGCCTTTCCATTGATTTTGGAAGTTCCCTAACCTTGGTGTCCCTTAAGTTCAAATGACTCAAATTGAATAGATTGATTAATGACCCGGGTATTATTTCAATAGAGACTCCTTCTACATCGAGGACCTTTAAGAACTTGAAATTTGATGATACTACATTCAAGGAGAATGAAGTGCATGTATCTGTCTCAAAGACAAAGAAAGATCGGAGATGACGCGACATGTTCTTGCTTAGTTGGATGTTTCCACCTCTGTTGTAGACTGATAGCCGCAAGAATTTTCCTTCTGCCCTTGATTCTTGGCCATTGTATGCTGTGCAGAAATTTTCTTCTTCCGATGTTGTCACTGCCAGTTCGCGCATAACATCGTGCACCTTACACGTCTTCACTCTCCCACAGTCATTAGTCTCAGTGACTTGAATCATGCTTCGTAAGATAAGTTCCGTAAGGTACTCTTCTGCTACCTCCTCAATTGTAAGCCCTTTTCTTTCTATGACAAATCCTTCTGCGACCCAAAGCCGAATCAGTTTCTTTCTCTTGATTGGGTACCCGTCACGAAAAACACAGCAATACAAGAAACAATGCTTTAGATAGAAAGGTAGATCATTGAAACTCAACAACAACATACCCTTAACCCGTCCAAGCACGGGATTATTGCTTAATTGCCAATTGAGACTATCATAGACTTTCTTCCATTCTACAACTGTCTTGTTTCTCGAACACATGAGCCCCCCAATTGCCACGATTGCGAGAGGTAGTCCTTCACATTTCTTCATAATGGTCTGAGCTGATTTCTCGAGCTCTTTGGGGCAGCTGTGATCCGGGTAATTCCAAAATACCTTATTACAGAAGAGAACCCAAGCATCGTTCTCTCTGAGAGGCTCGAGGCGATGGACACGACTTCCAGGACCCACAGAGGTTGCTACATTCTCATTTCTTGTTGTGAAAATAATTCTGCTGCCACAGTTATTATCAGGAAATGCACATCTTATTCTACTCCAAAGTTCTATGCCCCATACATCGTCTAAAACAACGACATACCTTTTATCGTGTAAAACATCAATGAGCATCTCTGCAAGCTGCCTATAGTTCATCGATCCGAAGTTTCTGGGACTTGTTGCTTGTGCTGTCTTGAGGAGTTCTCTGACCATGCTTCTTAGTAATTCTTCAACTCCATATGTTTGGGAGACTGATATCCATGCCCAACAATCGAAGTACCGCTTTATGATCTGGTCGTTGTAAACTTTTGTGACCAGAGTCGTCTTACCTAATCCGCCCATTCCCACAATTGAGATAATGGTCCGGCGAACCTCGTCTTCGGTTAACCATTCTAACAATTTTTCTTCACTTTCATCCATTCCTACTATCTCTTTTTCGTCAATAAAACTCGATGATTCTCCATGATGATGCCTCCAGTCAATCGACGTGTTTCTGCTTCGTCCCTCATTGATCCTATCAAAACAATAATCCTTGCTTCGCTCTGAGATCTTTTGAATCTTTATTTTGATCTCTTGTAGCTTCAAAGAGAGTTGGTAACTCGCAGTTACATTCCTCGGGAGGTTGACAACATCCTGGACAAAATTTTTGAATCCTTTTCCAGTTTGTTGGCCGGTGTCTTTGTAATGCATGTACTCATCCACAATATCCTCGATTTTATGTGAAATGTCTCGGACTTGTCTCACCCATGTTTTTACTGATAGATCTGTTTCCTTTCTTCGATCTGCGTCTCTTATGAAGGCGCTCATGCTTTCAAGCACAAGCTTTATTTCCTCGATTTCATTGTGAGCATCTGATAGTAATGATGCTTTTTGCAGTACTGTTTGCTGTAGGATGGTGGATAGCTTTCCAAGTAAGAAGTTGACAGCACCATCTGCCATTTTTGGTATCAAATTCCTCCCTCCTCACCCTTTTATTTTTATTTTTATTTTTATTTTTTCTGTTTCTTTCTCTCTTTGAGGAAGGTGGAAGAGACAAAGCAGTTAATGTTTGTTCAACAATTTGAAAAAGCTAGAGAAGACTTAGAAGACTTTGATTTTCATTTCATTTTACCGAGAAAAAGCTAGAGAAGACTTTTTCGTTTCATTTTACTGAGTTTGTGTATGTATGTGTATGTGTTGTGTGATGGATGATGGTTTCTCAATCCCCTCTGCTCTAGGATTAGTGCATCTGGACCCTAATTAGATGGCAATCAATCGGTAACCTGATTGACACTAACATCATTTGAAAACCATTCATTCTATTAGTTTCGTTTTCACAATTTGTTTTGTGAAATACACTAAAATTAACTTGGTGAAATAATAATAGAAAATTCAAAAACACTCATTATTTTCATTTTATTTATTTATTTATTTGTGTACAAAAATAGTTGCTAAAAATTCAAAAACATTATTTTAGTGTTTATTTTGGTCAAGCTAGTTCTTAATGTATTTTATGAAAATAGATTCTGAAAAACGAAACCAAATGGTTTGTACTTCTGTGTATGGAAAACTTTCATAGTCACAATTGTTGGAACTCAACTTTGCTTAAGGAATATATATTTTTTTTTTGGTTTTTTAATTGCAATCTATTTGATTTTCATTAGTAGGTGTATTATATTATTTGGCTGATTAGGATGTGCTTACTTAGTCATTAGTTATGGTGATGGAGAATATTCTGAAGAGGCTTGCTATATATCATTAGATTGATTTATAGGGTGGGGGTTTTGTAGGCAGACACATAAGTTTATCGTGTTGATACATGTAGGTGGTGAAATTTTTTGTTTTTTTAAAAAATTATCAAATTCATCTGGGGTTTGTACCAACAACTTTCCAATCTTTAAGATCCTTTTCTTGTGCTTTTTGTGTATCATCTGCCCGATCACCATTTGACTTTAAATAATACCTTTAAATGGAATAACCAAACCAATGAAGCAACCTCTATTTGAAATGATCAACCATCTTCTGCTAAACAAAGTCAAAACTGGCTACTAGCAAGGAGACTTCCATGAATGTTCCCTAGTTCAATTATCTTAGATGTTCCTTTCTTCTTTTGTTGGCACCACTCTCACACTTTTGGGACATTTTTGAAGTGTTACAAGGGGCCTGTTTGGTGCAGCTTAAAAGTTGCTTATTTCAGTTTTTAGCTTAATTAAAGTTACAATTGGTGTATTTGGTAGAGCTTAAAATCACTTTTTGTAGCTTAAATTAAGCCAAAAAAGTAATTTTTGGCTGAATGGCTTCCGGGGTGCTTATTCATTTAGCTTAAGAGGGAAGCTAAACTTGAGGGGGCAAAATTACTTAAATGCCCTTTATTCATTTGAAGTATTACCAAATTACCATTATATAGCGTACAAAAATAATCATTGCTCATTCTCTGATTGAGAGAGAGAGAGAGGCGATTTCCGGCGAGCTCTGGTTCATGCACTGTTCATTCTCTCTTTCTCTTTCTCTCTCTGTTCGCTCTCTCTTCACCACCACCATCGCGTTGATGATCAAACCCTAGCTTCGCGATCGAAACCCTAATCGTCAACTGCGTGATGATTGCGATCTAAAACCCTAGAGTCACGATCAACTGCGTAACGATCGACGGTCCGTCGTCGTCCCCATCTCCCATCGCTGCTATGCCTTCGACGGTGACTATCAACGACCAACTCTCTCTCTCTCGCTCTTTCTCTCTCTCTCTGGCATTGGTTCGTCGGTGTTCTCTTTGACATTGGCCTGTTTGGTGCAGTTTTTTTTTTTTTTGTTGAGGTTTTTAGTGTTTTTTTTTAAAATAATAATAATAATAATTAAGCATTTTATAATTTAGCCATCAATAATAATTTAGCCATTTTAGCAATTAATTAAGCATTGATACTAATTAATAATTTTAGGCCTCGTTTGGGAATCCTCCTTTTTCGCTAAAAAGTCAAAAAGTTACTAAATTAACTAAAAAACCAACAACCCATACCAAAAAGTCAAAGATTCTATTTTCTTTTTACTTTTTGCACATATTTTCATAAAAAACTAAAAAGTCATCCAAAACATACTAGTTTTTTTTAGCTCATATTTTAGTCAAATAGTTAAAAAGTTACTAAATTAGACTGTTTCCAAACGAGGCCATAGTATTAATTGATGCTACTTAAGCAATTAATTGACACTAATTAATTTATAATGAAAAAATGAAATAATTTTACTAAAAATGAAAAAATGAAATATCACTAAAAATAATTAAAATGAATAATAATAATAATATGAAAATAATAGTAATAATAATAACTGATGGACAAATTGATACTAATTTTAATAATTGATGAACAAATTAATAATATTGATACTAATTTTAATAATTGATGAACAAATTAATAATAATAATAATAATAATAATAATTAATAATTGATATTAATTTTAATAATTGATGAGCAAATTGATAATCTTTATACTAAAATCACAATTAATAATAATAATAAAGAAAAGAAATACAGATATAAATAATTAAAATGAATATATAAAAAATAATATGTAATGAAATCACAACATTAATATAAATTAGAACATGTATTAATTTTAATGAATTCATAAATTAAACAAAATTAACAAAGAAAGGAGAAGAAAAAAAAAATTTAAAAAGAAAAGAAAATAAGGTGAAAAAGAAAAGGAAAGAAAAGAAAAGAAAATAAAAAATAAAAGGAAAAAATATATTATAAATGAAATCACAAATTTTATATCTTATAAGGGCAAAAATGACAATTATATAGCAAAAAGTTATTTTACAGCTTATTTACCAAATACTATTTTGCTGCTTAAATCCATAATCCCACAGCTGCACCAACAGATTATCAACTTATGTTCACAGTTGTAAGTTATAATTTATTAAGTTATAATGTATAATCACTTTTTCACAGCTCTATCAAACGGGCGAAGATGCATATATAGTGCATATATAATTGGGAAAGGTTGAAAGCTACATTATGAGGTTGAAGTTGGTGATTTGGGAATTGACTTTTTTTTTAATGATTTTTTTTTTTAGTCTTTTTATGAGATAAAATAATAATAATAATAATAATAATAATAATAATAATAATAATAATAATGTATTTGGAAATGACTTTTTTAGTTGTATAGAAAAATATGAAAGGTTGATATGATATTTTAGCCTTCTGCTTGAAATTTCCATTTTACCTTTGTGTATGGAAAAAAAAGTTAATGGGATAGTATGTTAGTCTATTTACACTAGCAAAAGCCAACTGTTTTAGATATATGCCAAATATGCTGATTTAAAACCACAGGTTTACTAAATCTGATAAAACCATAGGTTTATCGAAGTCATTTTTTGCCTAAACATCTTCAAGTTTGGGGTAAATTACAAACACCCCTCTCGAGGTTTGGTGAAAATACAGATTTTTTTCTGAGATTTGAGAAATTACATTCCGCCCCCCTAAGGTTTATATTTTCATAACAAATTACCCCCTGAGGTTTTTATTTTCATACAGATTCTCCCCTAATTTGTTATGCAAATTTGATTCTCAGGGAATAATTTGTAATTTCTCAAATCTCGGGAGAGAATCTGTATTTTTACCAAACTTCGAGTAGAGTGTTTATAATTTACCCTAAACTTTGTCTCCAATGGCGAGCTAAATGCCAAGTCAAAAAAATGAAAAAATAAAATCTTATACCAAATTTGATTTGAAGTTTGGCAAAGTCTCTTTTGCCACATCAACAAAACTAAATCTTGATCCCAAGAGACTTTTTTAGGAGTAGATTTGCTAGTCAAAAATTGATATGGGAATTAGTAGTGAACAATTTACTAAATCTGATTACAAGAGGCTTTTTGAGGAGTAGATTCGATAGTTCAAAAATTGATATGGGAATTTGTTGTGTCAAAATAGTATGTGAACAATTGGAGGGGTATTGAAAAAAAAAAAACAAAACAACAACAAAAACAACAACACCATAACAAGTAAAAAAAAATAACTTTACCAAAACTATTTTAGCTCTTATCATCAGAGTTACTCCTATGGTTCAAAATATTTATATTTATTGAATCATATTTTCAAATTATTGGATTGAGAGATTTTCAAATATCTAACAGTAGTGAGTGTTTTAGGACAATAGGCCGGAGAGATTTGGGAATAAAAAATCCTTGGCCGTTGTCTTCAGATTATTGCACTTCAAGATTTCAATATATCATAATCGATTTAATTTAATTTCATTCAATTATTAATAACTCACAAACAACTAAAAACAACCAATCAGGATTTCATCACATAATCACTTATTAATAGCTGAATTTCAATTCAATTTCGGCAAATAATAGCTCAATTTGAGCAAAAAAAAAAAAAAACAACAACAACAAAAACAACAACACCATAACAAGTAAAAAAAAATAACTTTACCAAAACTATTTTAGCTCTTATCATCAGAGTTACTCCTATGGTTCAAAATATTTATATCTATTGAATCATATTTTCAAATTATTGGATTGAGAGATTTTCAAATATCTAACAGTAGTGAGGCCTCGTTTGGCAAGAGGTTATTTTAGCCAATTAGTCAAAAAGTTACTAAATTAGCCAAAAAGCCAACAACCCAAACTAAAAAGTCAAAGATTCTCTTTTCTCTTTACTTTTTGCACATCTTTTCGTAATTGGCCAAAAAGTCATCCCAAACATATAAGTTTTTTTTACCTATCTTTTTAGCCAAATAGCCAAAAAGTTACTAAATTAGCCTGTTCCCAAACGAGGCCTCAGTGTTTTAGGACAATAGGCCGGAGAGATTTGGGAATAAAAAATCCTTGGCCGTTGTCTTCAGATTATTGCACTTCGAGATTTCAATATATCATAATCGATTTAATTTAATTTCATTCAATTATTAATAACTCACAAACAACTAAAAACAACCAATCAGGATTTCATCACATAATCACTTATTAATAGCTGAATTTCAATTCAATTTCGGCAAATAATAGCTCAATTTGAGCACAAATTTATCACCAAATGTAAAAAAATAAAAATAAAAATAAAAAATCCAACAATTTGATATTAATTTCACTAAATACTTCAACTTCAAGTCCATTGTTACAGATTTACTGTGCAAATTGTCCTAGACTTGGAACTACCCTTCCTAGG